AAAAAGCACAAAAAATTAGGAAATTATACAATGATAAATATTGACAAGGATATAGGGGAAATAGGACCTGTTTGTGTATTACCGAAGGCAGTAGAGAGCAGTGCAGACATTCTGGAAAACATTCTTGCTGAATACTGAAATTAAGTTTGTATATATTCTTTCATCTAACAATTCTAATTCTGCTCCTATAATCCAGACAAATTATCACACATGTCAATAAATTGACATGTATCAGAATATACAGGGCATCATTGTCTACGGTAGACAAAAGTAGAGGCATCATAGATATCCATCACTAAAGGAATGAATCAAATTTTGGTACAGGCATATTATTTTAGTGGAATGCTACACTGAATTTAGTAGCACTAGACAAAATGTACAACATAGAAAGATATTTAAAAGTATTAAGGGACTTCCAGTTTCTGGTATGAGACTTAAAGAGTTTGGAGGTCACCACTCCTATCCTCATAAGGAAAAAACTGAAATACTGAAAATCAACAGCTTTTCTTAGCTTCATTCAAGAATTGGGGTAATGGGGCAAACCACCACCCAGAAATCTGAAGAGATAGGCAGATACAGAGAATCATAGGATAGTAAGAGCAGATACCACCACACTGTAGCCAGCATCTGACTAGGAGAACTTGAAGGGCAATGGACTAATTGCTGGAGACTGAACATGGACTAACTTGAGAGATAACATACCTGGAGGCCCAGCCTTAAGAAGGCCCTCACACATTTGTGAGTTTGACTTCTGGAAGTCCCACCAGGTTCTCACTGTGAAGATTGGAGAAAAATTCTCCTCAGGCTTCTAGCGGGTTAGGGGAGTGGGGTGGGGGGAACAGTGGTCATTTTGAAATATATTCAGAACCTTTTGTTCTATTTAAGAAAAGCCTAGCTTTTCTTAAATAATAAGGGTAATTATTTGACTAGAGCCTAATTTTTGTAGGGGAAGGAAAATATCCAACTTCAGCCCTTTCTAGCCTTTAATAGAAGGAGCAGGAGCACAGGTTCACTACATGACTGATACCTAATACTAATCATAGGATTTTAGACCTTCTCCCCACTATCATATCACCACATCAAAGGGGCTCCTGTGCAATAACAGGCAATTATATCTGAACTGCACAGCTTAGACCCTATTTAAGAAGTCTCTGGGAAGCCCAAAGACAAAAACAAGGGCAATAGAGGACATTTTAGCCTCTGATACCTACAGCTATAGCAGAGTAAACACAGCCAAACTCCTAGCTAGATAAACATAAAACCCACACTAAAAACCAATTTACCTCAGTTTCCTTTACCCAATATATCATGACCAGATTTCAGCAAAAAGCTACAAGACATGCTAAAAGACAAAAACCACATTTTGAAGAGACAAAGCAAGTAGCAGAACCAGACTAAGATATGACAGAGATTTGGGAATTATCAGATTGGCAATTTAAAATAACTGTGATTACTGTGCTAAGAGATCCCATGGAAAAAGTGGACAACATGCAGGAAGAAATAGATAATGTAAGCAAAGAGATTAAAACTCTAGGAAAGATTAAGAAAGAAATGCTAGAAATAAAAGTACAATGACAGAAATGAAGAATGTCTTTGATGGGCTAATCTGTAGGCTGGATATAGCTGAAGAAAGAAATCAGTGAGCTTGAAGATATCTCAATAGAACTGAAAATTTCCAAAACTAAAAGTTAAAGAGAAAAAATCCTGAAAAATAAATGGAACAGAATATCCAAGAACCATGAAATAATTATAAAAGGTATAACATACATGTAATGGGAATACCAGAGAAGAAGAAAGGGAAAGGAACAAAAGGAATACTTGAAGTAATAATGATAAAGAATTTTCCAAAATTATTGACAGACACCAAACCACAGATTCAGACAGTTCACAGAATACTAAGCAGGATAAATTACCAAAAAATCTACACCTAGCATATCAAATTCAAAATGCAAAAAATCAAAGACAATTAGAAAATCTTGAAAGAAACTAGGAAAGGGGGAAAGGGAAACCTTGTCTCTGGAGGAAGAAGGAGAAGCATTATAGCAGACTTCTCTTCCAAAACCACGCAAAAGAGTGGAGTAAAATAGTTAAAGTATTGAAAGAAAAAAACTCATCAACTTATTATAGAATTCTGTATCCAGGTAAATTATCCTTCAAAAGTTAAGGAAAATAAAGACTTCTCAGAAGAACAAAAATTGAGAGAAATTATTGTCTTACAAGAAATGTTAAAAGAAGTTCTTCAGAGAAAAAGAAAATGGTAGGCCAGAAACTTGGATTTATGTAAAGAAAGGAAGAGCATTTCAGAAGTAATAGATGAAGGTAAAATAAAGTCATTTGTTTTTCTTATTCTTTACTAACAGAAGAGTTTGTATAAAATATTAGTAGCAAAAAAATATTGGATGATTATAACTTATGGATATGTGAAATATATGACACTAATAATAATAAAGGCTGACGTGGTTATTTCAATTTCAGAAAAAGCACATTTCAGAGCACGGAAGTTTGTCAAGAATATGGAGGGGTATTACATATTAATAAAGGGGTCATTGCTCCAAGAAGACATAAAAATACTGCATTTTAATATATCTAATAACAGACTGTCAAAATACACAGAGGCTAAAACTGATAGAACTGTAAGGAAAAGTATACAAATCCACTATTATAGTTGGAGACTTCAACATCAATTTACAAGTAAGTGACAGATCCAAGAGGAAGAAAATTAGCAAGAATATAATCGAATTGAACAGCATCATCTATCAACTAGAGCTAATTGACCTTTATACTTATTCAACAACAGCACTCGTTCTCAAGCTCATGTGGAACAATCACAAAGATAGGCCACAGCCTAGTAAACAAAACACACCTAAACAATCCTAAAAGAATAGAAGTCATCCAAAGTATGTGCTAAGATAGCAGTACCAACAAATTAGAAGTCAGTAACAGAAAGATAGCTAGAAAATCCCCAAATATTTGGAGATTGAATAACAAACTTCTAAATAACACATGCATACAAGAAGTCGTAAGATAAATTTAAAAATATGTTGCGCCAAATAAAAATGAAAATATAAGTTACTAAAATTTGTGAGATATAGCAAAACACTGCTTAGGGGGAACTTTATAGTATTGAATGAATATATTAGAAAGAAAGAAAGATCTAGAATCAATAATCTAAGTTTCCATATTAGGTAACTTGAAAAAGAAATAAATCTAAAGTAAGCAGAAGAATAATTTCTTAAAGAAATAATTTAAAAAAGCAGAATCAATGAAATTGAAAACAGAAAATCAATAGAGAAAATCAACTAAACCAAAAGGTGGTTCTTAGAAAAGATCAATAAAATAGATAAGACTCTAGTAGGCATAAGAAAAAAAGAAAGGACACAAATTTCTATATGAAAGAGGGGACATTCAACTGATTCCATGATTCTATGGAAATGAGAAAGAATAAAGGAATAACTCATTGCAAATGTGATAACTTAAATGAAATGAACCAATTTCCTTGAAAGACACAACTCTAAATACCAACTTAAAAAACTGATATCTGAATAGTCTGTTATATTAATTGAATAAAAAATTAATAACTTTCTAAAACAGAAAGTTATTTCTGGCCCACATGTGTTCAGTGGTGAATTCTACCAAACATTTAAAGAAATGATACCAATTCTTTACAGTCTCAAACAGGAAAGAGAGAACAGAGGAGCACTTTCTAATCCATTCTATAAGACAAGCGCTACCCTAATGCTAACTAGAGAAATATCTCACAAGAAAGGAAGAGTACAGATCAATATCACTTATGAACAAAAATGTAAAAATCCTCAATAAGACATTAACAAATCAAACTCTAAAATGTATAAAAATAATTATACACAATGCAAAATGGGATTTCTTCCATTTATACGAGGCTAAATTGACATTCAAAAATTAATTACTGTAATCCATCATATTAACAGGCTAAAGAACAAAAAAATATGTTTTTGTTTTATTTTGTCAGCCTAAACACAGAGCTAAGGATTGCTCAACTTAAATCCTTTCAAGTTCTTAGCTTATAACATCCACATTTACTTACGTCAAACACTGTCTTTATGTCAAATGAACACCAAGACTCCTAGGACTGGCCCTAGAGAATCTCTTGGCTCTGAATCCTCCTGTGTTAACCTCTGCACACTTCTCTACAAATCCTGAAGCTACAGCCTCCCCTTGTACAATGGATTCTTTCAATTACTGCAAAGAAATGGAGGAGAAGAGAAGAGATGAGAGAGGAAGGAGAGAGAGAGAAGAGGACAGAGCAGAGAGAGAAGAGAGAGAGAGACTAGATATTGTAAAATCTCTGATTTCTGCATCTGAATATCTTCTTCTCTGTACAGTTAATCTTTCATTCTAGCTTAAAGTTCCAGAAGAAAGATGCTTCTATATAATGTTCCTATTTGGGATTTGAGTTATATACATTCTTTGTTCTGAGAAAACTTGCCTCTGCATGTACACCACATCCACATTCTCAGTCCGTCATCCATATTGAGTCTGAGACCCAAGGTTAACTGCCTGATCACTGTTATCAGTCAGTGGCAGATTTGGATCCAAATTAGGACGCACAACTCCCAGTTCAGGCCATGTACCAATCAATTATGTTGCCTAACAATATAAGCTACTCAACTTTGCAATGCATTACTTTTTTTAATATGAAAAGTCTTTTCTGGTCAAGTCAGTCTTCTATTTTTTCACAAAAATCTACTCTTTGGCTTTTTCTTAGAGTATTCGCATAACCAAACACACTTTACACTCTCCTAGTATATAACCCTATACTTTCTTCTTTTCCCTGCAACCCCTGCACAAAGCCTGCTCAGACCACCATCATTATAACACTTCTCACATTCCAAAGTCCTTCAGCCCTTGATTGCTGTTGATTTTTACCTCAGGATTCTATTGCGAATCATATGGAAATGGTTATTGAATGAATGAAGAAACAGTGATAGAGATTCACCAGAAAAAAGTTTATTTAGCAACTCTTTTGAGATTAAAAAAAATAAACCAAAACCAAACCAAAACAAAAAAAAAAACCCACTTGTCTTCTGTGGAGTACTAAGAACAGAAAATCCAGCAAAGCACTTTTCATTCATGTGGTCTTCAAACATTTCCTTGATCTGTGGTAGTGGAAAGGAAAGAAAATTAAGAGGAACATCAGTTTCCATGAGCAGAGAATATTCTTTCCCTTAGATCTGGGTAGCACAGTGCCTAAGGAAACCCAACGGTACAGTGGAAAATGGCTTCTATTACAGATGCCCAGTATGCAATCCTATGAACTGCCTGAAGTTTGACACAGTCAGTGGTTCTTTTCAGTAAATGTGTTTATTTATAATAATATGCAGTGCGAACAATACAATCTCTCTGAAAAATATTTAGCCACAATTTTATGAAGACTTGAGGGACAAGCCAAAGGAATTCTATGTTTTGAGGGAGTGTGCACTGCTTACCTTTGCCGCAAGGAGCATTGTACTCAGCAATTGCAAACTCATCTGAAACAAACAAAAAGCATTAGGTGAAGTGAGGGAAAGCAAACATCTGTCAGATACAGGTCAATGAAGGAATCTTTACTGTAGGAAGCACCGTGTTGTGTCAGAAATGTCAGCACTCTGCATTGGATGCATTGCTTGCTGCCTTATACTATCCTTTCAAATACAGTATATTTTCTTTTACCCCAAACTCCTTGAAGGACACTTCAGAAATTCTACTTAATTAAAATTATATTGTTCTAATGTTGCTTTATCTGATGACACAGAACTAAAAATTCTACAGTTGTTTGTATTAGTAGTTGATGTATTATAATGTGGAAAGTTCTAAAATGTATAAATAGACCCAGAAAGAGAAGAATCCGACTTGAATGGAGACAAAAAGAAGTGATAAGGGCACTTAATGTAATAATTGCCCAACATATCTCTCAGATCTAAATTCCAGATTAGGATTTAATTTTTATGTGAAAATCACTCACACTCACCTGTCTCATAGTAATCATAGACTTTCACTGATGGGCTGGTTTCAATCTCGTATTGGAATGTTGAGGAACCGTGAAGGAAAAGCTCAGGTGTTATTTGCACCTAGAAGGCAAAAGGGAATTAAAATATGCGCTACCTTTAGAGAGCATCCTCTAACAGAGTGTTAGAGAAGCAAATATTTCCACTCTCTGGTTGTCTATTTGTCTCTCTGCTGATGTGAATCATGTCGGGCTGTGCAAGACAAACTTTCTAATTGGTATCAATATTCGCGAGGAAGTATACTTTTAATCATTGAACTATCGGCACGACTGCTAGCCGATGCGGGTCTTCCCAATATTGTGACATTCTTAATGCCTTCAGACCGTGGATGAAAATCTCCAAATAATTTATTGTCTTTCTTTATGTTTTTCTTTTTATAGGAGAATATCTAGGAGGTGTTCTTCACCCTACGGAGTAGTTTTGTTGTTAGGTAGTGGGTCTACAATTAACTCACCGGCTCAGTCGGAATGCATTTAAGTTTTAAGTCCTTCTGTTTGCTTATCCAAGTCTTGCCTCCTGGCGAACTTTTTATGAGAGGTGAGTTGAGTAGGGATCCTGATTTGCCTCTGGTGTATTCATCTAGTAATGCAATAACAACTTTAACACCTAAAGCAAACCCATCTAATTGAAGTGAAGATTCACTTTCCCCTCCCAATCAAATAAATTGCTATGAATTGGCTAACCAAATGCCTATACTGTATTATCGTTATCATCAAAGATATTGGATATATTAAGACTTTTTTATTGGTTATATCAAAACTAAGCATGTTAGTCCCCAGTCTTACATAATATACTGAGTGTTTGCACGCGTCTGATCTCAGATCTATGTCCTTCCAAGAGCGTTTGTACAGTTTCCCTCATTTTG